TTTTTTCATTTATGATTAACTACGCCAAAACTGAATTTAATTGTATTTCGCACAGTTTGTTGCTCATATGGCCAATGTCAATGTGCCCAGCAACTCGTCAGATTAGGCGTCTCTTGATAAAAGAGTTGGAAATGACCTCAAAATATGAATGTGGTTTACGGCAAATAAGTATTCGGGGACTAGTAAGGCGAAAACACTGCGGTGTGGCTGGGTACGAACTCAACAAGTTCATCCTCCTTTGGAATAAAGTTCATACTGCATAATGGCAATCTCATGACGAAGTGAAAGCGACCTGTTCTTTGAAGAAAGATGTCCGATAATGTCACATCTACCTTGCGGTTGGACATTGGTTTGCCAGAGAGTAGAAATGAAAACTTCGATGAAAAGCCGAACGGAGTTCGGGATCCCGTCTTTCGAATCTTGCCAGGTTACTGACAGTCGTACCAGCGTGTGGCAAAATTTCATGCATTATAATAGAACACAGTGCATCGACCGGCACGATTTGTCGCTGATTACCGGCCAGTCCCAGTGATTCAGCTTCAATAGGTCAGAACGAATTGAAGCAATTAGATGCACCCATAAAACGAAATGGCTGTATCTCTGGTAAGCTCTGCACGATCACACCAGAGAACCATGGTATCCCTGTCATTTTTGAGTATAACGCTTCTCTTAGTTTTGATCCACAAAGCGTAACTCCCTTCAAGGCCAGAGATAAATTCTGAAAAACATCCACCTACCATGTTCAATGATTTATCACTGGAATAAATCTATATTTTAAATTTGTTTATTGAACTGCCCAATTGAAACATTTATTACATGAGTAAAATAAGAAAAAGATTTTGTTATTCTGTTTCTGTGTCATTGTTGTGCCATCGTCGTCCAATGTATATGACATCTAATGTGTAACCAAGCCTCTCGAACATCAACGACTATTGATTAACTGAATAATTTGTTAAAATTCTGAACTAAAACTTCAAAATATCACAATTTCCAAAACGATGAAAACAACTTGTATGAATTAGATGACACAAAAATGCAATAAAATGAACGAAAAATTAAAAAAATAACCTTTCTTTTAAAGTTCAGATTCAGTATTAAATAATATTGCGAATATTGCCAAAACAATAGTTATATTTCTAAAAACTAGTGTTATTGATTACGGAATATAAAATTCTTCGGCCCCTTACTAAAGCTAGACTCGAATCGTTATAGTGTTATAGATGCTGAAGTTCAACTTTCGTTTTGGAATCCTATGGTCGCTCGAATGTTCGATGACTAAGGAAATCAATATTCCTTGTTATACATTTATGTACTGTATTGTATCGATGATTTAGAATTTTGTCGCGGTGTGGATTCACGGTATAGGTGACATGGCAGGCAGTGAAGCGAGTGGTTGGTCTGCGTACGTTAAGAATATTCTGACACACGCACCTTGTGTGAAACGGGCAGCGATCGTTGGAGCGACAGATGGTGCGATTTGGGCGTGTACAGACGGAAAAACGGGAGACGTGTTTCAGGCGAGTGTCTTTGACCGTGTCGTACTGGTCATCATCCTGCGCTCATGCCGGCATATGTTCTTGTTTGTTTCTGTGTGTGTCATATTCGCGTATTTTGTTTACTCGTAATCAAGAGTAATTTGCGTGCTGCCGTGGTTTCAGTATGTGCTTGAATAATTCGACTGAGCTTTCTGGTCTTGTTTCTGTTTCTTTGTCGTTTTTTTCGTATAGGTCATCGTCGTGATGAATCAAAAGCATGAGCAAGGAATTAAGGTATCAGATGGTCGTTCGTTGTTGAAGTCTGAGTTCATTTTTAACCGCGTTTCCGTTGTAAAGCCCAATGTATTTACTGTTTTTACTGGCGTGCGGACCAGAAACGAAGAGCGCTTCATTTCCTTCGTCGTCCGCTAGAATCGACGGCGAAGTAGTTGCTGTGGCACCGTTGTATAGACGAGACGCGGTGTTCCTTGTGCCCTACAACGCACTGCTGCTTCGCTTCAGCGGTTTCACGTATATGCAACAAAACACAATGGTACGGCGGTGTTCTTTAGTATTCGAGGGTGGTTTTCGCGCACCAGAAGTAATCCTATTTGACGACAAAGTTGTATTTGACGCATAAAAAATGCCAAATCGCAAACGTTACCAAGGTCGTCGAAATATTGTTTGCATTACGTATGTCGAACGGATATTGTTTGTTGTATGGAGATCCGCTATTCGAATGTCTTTACCAGTTGAACTGGCCGAATTTCACTACTGTTTCGACTATTTTATGCGGTGTGACCCACAATATTTTCGGGTACCTGGAGTTAGCGGAGAACATGTCATTTTATCACCGGCTGCTTGAAGTGTGCAACTGAATTGTTCTTCTGTGCGGAGTAATGCGTCAGTTTTTTGAGAGAAACGCCTTTTTCGGTCATACCTGAAACTTCACTCTGCTCAAAGTAAGACCTTGCATGCAACAGTAATAATTCTACGAAAGAAAGAATTCAAGAAAGTGTGACAAAAAGCGTTTCACAGGTGAGATTTTGATGTTAACAAGTTCTCTTTGTGCATCCTTCCTTTGTGTAGCACGCTTCATTTTTAGCAGTGTGTTCGGTCGCGATCAGGCAGCTTTGTTTCCTTCTACGTTGTTGAACTACATTTGCAAAACGATTCGTGTAAACTATAGGTATAATCCAGATCCAGTATGCTTGAAACCGACACCAGTTTGATTTACTCACTGTTTTTGTTTATAATGGTCTGCCTGGTTAGAATGATTAAGAAATTTTCTTCTTCCCTGATGATGACCGATGCCAGTTGGGTTGAAACGTTAGCATTGTTATAAATAAAGCGATTTTCTCATGCTGCTAACCATGGAATCAGAAGACCTATCACCTTCAAGAAATTTTGCAGTGACAGTTTTCTGACGCGTTACAGGCGTTATCTTTTGTTCAAACTGTAGACGTTATGACGCTTCATTATTTTCTCTTCAGGACAGTTCCTACCATCATGTTTGTCCTCATACACAGATTGTCTTTGTAGTCATAAAGACATTTGAACCATTTTAATGGATCGTGTCTGGCTATATGATAGATCTTTACACCACAGTATGCTCCACTACAGTGCCCCGTTACACCCGAACCTGCCCGTCACTCTGCGCGCTCTCTGCGCAACGTAGGGCTCGTGAACAGTAGAGCTAAACGGTCGTGTGAAACGTTTGCCGTCATCATCTTGAACATCAGGGTCAAGTACAGAGTACCCAAATTAATGATACCTGTAAAAAGACCAGTGCAACATTTTCTGTATACTTATTATTGTAATTTCATGTGGTTACGTCAGTGTGACAGAATGCTAAACCCAACGATGGGTATTTTTGTTCTACATGTAGTGTGTTTTCATCACTTGAGCAAAGTGGTCGGTTTGCAAATCAGTGTTGCTGTTTTAGAATATGGCATAATTTTTTGGATTTAAGGCTACCGCCGAGGAATTGAAAAACTTCGTAGCGCTGTTTGATCATGTCGAAGATGTTCCTCAACATGGTTTCCACTTGGAGGGAAAAAAGTACATCGTGCCACAGGTAGCAGAAAATCTTATTTTTGGCAAGAAGGACAAAGCAGGTGTTTTCGCAGTGAAGACGAAATTAGGTAACTGACCTGTTGGCGATGCTGAAGTTTTTATATTCGATTTTCAGCCGTTTTGATCGCGTGCTTCGACGGGGATTCCATGGAAAGTGTCACATGCCGGAAAGCAGTTGATGAACTAGGGGCATATTTATGCAAACAGGGCTACTAAGAACCTGCCATCGGTAAATAGTTTATATCATTTTAAAGTTTTATTATATGGAATGCCTTATAAACAGTATAAGCTGTTCGTGCGGTCGAATGCGTTTAATACCAGATGAATCCTCCAAGATCCGATTTCATAACGTGTTTCAGCATCTATTGTCATTTAACTGAGGTTATTTAAGCAGGCCTCGCTTTCATGCAAGATGCGTCTGGCACTGCAGTTGCTCAAATACCAACGATCCGTGGTGTACTAAGTGGTTCTCCTAGGCAGTTAAAAGCAAGGGGGCAGTGTAATACATCGTTAAATCAAGTCTCGGAGGAATCATTCGTTATAAAAATGATCTCTATCTCTTGTATTGCACATAATTTGGTACTGAAGGGTTATACTTTTCACCGCAAAACTGATACGAAAAATCCGGTTAGTTCAACAATCATCGAAATGCTTTAATCAGAACTTCACTGTTGATTAACATTCGGACTGGTCAGTTAAATAGCATTTTGATTGTAAAGTATTGTTTGCTTGTTGGACATTAGTGTCTTCAGTCAGTCATTTGTACGTAACTTCGCCCTGATGATGCTACGGTCTACGTAGTGAAGCGCGTCGACAATAATCTACCATCTGTTGTATTTGATGCCCTGGACCATAATCAGGGTCATTTAAACTTGAGTCATTTAAATACATACTTTCCGCCATCGAAGTATTTCCTATTATCGTAAAGTATGGCATACTTCTAGTGTAGAAAAATGCTAATCTGCTCGATTTTTTTCACATTTCATCATTGTTAGGGCTTCTTTGCAGGTTATTGCACTTTTGCTTAATTGGTATCTCTTAATTTGCCTACAATAACTATGAATTTAGATTTCCGATGTTATTCATTCCAAGTTCCTGAAGGAAGTTTTGCATGTAAATTTTTCGTAATAAACGGATAAGCCTGCTGGTTTGAAGCATTTGCAGTGATCATATTTGATAGTTAGTCTGTTTTTGATTATCTGTATTGATTTAATTCGTTGCGAATTGTACTATCTAAGCAGTTTTACGCAGTGTTACCTGTATCTCAAACCGGTGTAACGATACCATGTTCATTTTTGCCAGTATTTCTTATGTAGTACTCCGTTCAGTTTTTGTACTTCAGTGATATAGCAATGCAAAGGTAAACTTATAATTTCATGATCTTGGTTTTGTGAATGGCATCTTGCATTAAAACGTTTCTATCATGGTGCTGGTTTTTATGCTTGTTAAAGCGCATGCGCAAAATCATGTGCGTCGCTATTCGGTGAATAGCAATGTATTAAACATTTTGATGATTGAAAATGACAACATTTTATTTTTATCGTAACTTTTGAATACACTGTCGCAGTTATTTTCGACATTTCATTGCATTTTCGTATTTAAATTCTGAATGTTGTGAGTTGAAACGATTGCATATTTGGATGAATTATGAACATATATTTGCAAATACTTAACATGAGGCTAACCTCCCATAGAAGCAGCCTGTAAGTGTCTAGAATTGCAGAGACAGTTGGCATGTGCCTTCACAGACAATTCTTTTCTACTTGTTAGTGAGAAATGCAACAGTAAATACCAATAAAAAGTTTAAAAATGATCCTTGATTTTCTTTGTAGCAGTTGGTAGAAACTGGTTATATACACAGGATATGAACAGTGGTTTAGGTTGTTTTCTAAAAAAGCTTCGATAAAATACCGCTGGCTGTTACGACTCCCATTTTTCTGCTCCGTAACCGCTTAATTGAATTCTGTGGTTTCCGTAGTCTTGCTTCATCTTTCGTATATCTACTCAGCGTAGTGTACACGATGACCATTTTTCAACTTTTAGGTCAGCTATTTTCTGCTGACTAATGAGCCGATCCATTGTTTTCTCGTTCACTTTGTTCAGCCTGATTCTAAAGGCAATTTTGATGATATTGACAAAATAGTGCGTATATGTTCCTGCTGCAGACAGTGTTGCTTCACGAAAAGGATTTGGCATTCAAATGACTGTCATATAAACAGAATTTTATTAAAGAACGACTAAAAATAGTCTTCGATTGTGCATTTTGAAGTGTAGTTTTTTGGGTGTAACTTAACAGCACGAGTAAACGACTGACAATTTATAGAGAACAAATGACTCGTTCATACTTAAGGGGCCAGGCAGTGAATCGCTATTCGATCTTACGACTTATAGTAATCTCCAAATTATGCAGTTTAAGCGGCAGTTGTTTGTCACAAAGTCATGTATGGTAACGGGATAATGACTGGTTAAAGTATAATTACTCATCAGCTGCTTCTATAGGTGCTTTCTATCGTGGACATTCGCCAGATTCACTCAGTTTGCACTTCTGGGTAAACAGCGATAAATTGTGTGGCTCCTCCATGACGCTTTACTTGGAGCAGTTGCTGGACAACCTCCAAGGTCTTCCAGCCGAGTTTCAGAGAAATTTACTGCTGCTGAGAGAACTGGACGAACGGACGCTGAAGAATTTGCGAGGCCTTGATAAGTTGTCGAAGAGCTATATGACAGGTATTAAAGACGTTTCTACCAAAAGAATGAAGGCTCTGTACGAAGAAATCCGACAGCTCTTCTATAAAACTAAAAGTTTAGGCGATGAAAAGGTTAGTACTTATGTTTCGTGAGTGTTTCGTTTCATGTGTGCGCACGAATGCAGTTATGTCTTTTTACAGTTCACTAGTACAACATGTGTAATGGTTTCTTTTTGCTAGCTAGTCTACTGTTTCCTTTCACTTAGCGTTTCTTACGTTTGTTAGTAAGTTTAAAATATACTGTTTATCACAATGAAGAGTGGCGTCGAAGATACGCGCCATCTTCCTTTTCAAAGATTCTTTGAATGCACAAAATCTGATTGGTGTTTAGACTGTTTGTTCTTGAGGTGGAAGTTAGAAACTTTAGCTATAAGGCTTCGTTGCTTTCATGAAACTTCGCAGTATATCCTTAATTTACTATATACGCGTTACGGAGTTGGACTTGTAGGGCTGACGGAACTAATTCCGTTATAAGATCAAAAGAAACTTCGTTCATTTTCAGCGAACGGCTACCTAAAACTTATGTTTCGAAAGGTGAGTGTTTATTTAATCCATTAAAGTCTGGGGTTCGGGTCCAACGCTAGGAATAATTAAAGAAGAACGTAGTCATTAGTTCTTAATAGTTCGTAACAAGTGCACAACTCAACCCGGTCCAGTTTTGTGGCATCACACTGTTTGTTTGCTTCTTGGATACTTTGCGGTCATTTAAATAGGTCCTCGTTTTCTGACAGTTTATTACGTGTGCTCGGTGCATGAATGCATATTACACTTTGCAAGTAGATTTGTCTTCTGTTGCATGGCTTGTAGCACGAAAAACAACTAAGTTAACGTTTTGCAACATCGATGTCCTTTCGATAAAGGGTGAAATTGTTTTGTTTTACCTACCGTAGAATTAGAATACCCACATTCAGGCGTTTACAGCGCGGCGTTCGTAGGCGTGTATGATGTTTCTCTTATTGAATGCAGCAGTGCGTTTTTCGTCGCCTGTAATGATGTTTCAAAATTCAATCCTTTTTGGACGCTTTCGTAAACAACATTGTTGCTTCCTCCATATTCTGTATTTTAGTACCGCACAACAACACCACACCATATTTCTTGATACCTAGTAAACATTCCTTTCGCTTCTTTAACAAGACTAATCTTTGATGCAAATATAAGAGCATTAAGACAGCGGGGTTTTGAAATATAACTGATAACGTGCAATGTATTCTTCGATCTAGCGTGTAACGCCCATAATCAAATAACTTCTTCATCCTGTAGGAACGAGAAATTGATGTAATGTGATGTTTTCCACTCTGATTTCTGACATTTAGTTATTCACAAAATTTTGGAAATAGTATTTTCGCTGCACTGCAAGGGATCTTTGCGTCTTTGCTTCACTTCGCCAGAGACAACTGAAATGATCACTCGGTTACAGTAAAAACATTAAAGACGTATTTCTGTGAATGCGCTATTCTGAAATTGGTTTTCGCGCGTTATCATTTTCCCGCTGGTTGTACTTTTTATTCAAAGTAGTTTCGAAGTATGGAATCTACCACTGCAGTTAAAGCAAACGAACAAAGTTAGCGAATTGTTGCAGACCACTGCGTTGGAAGCATCTACGATTTTGTGAAATATGATCAGTCGTTGCGAATTGGTTATTGTGCTTTGCGTGTATCCATGTACATGTTTACATGAACCGCTTTATAACTGTGCGTATATTCGTATTCATGTCTGTGAGTATATCGTATCTGTAACCAGGTATTACCTTACAGTGCTTGTAAGCATAATCCAAACTGGGTTTCACTTCGTTTTACAGCCTTTCCCGTGCTCCTGGGTATCCATCGGATCATTTATGTTGCCTATGGTTATATCGTGTTTACTCATATTGAATTGTGCATAAATCACCTTGATTAATCGTTTAGCATCTTTTTTTCGTTAGCGCTACTTTTCGTTCCTTCCTGATGGAAGATGAAAAAATTTTCGTAATCACAGAAATATAGTATGTTCCGCAGTGTACCTGATTTGAACTCACAGAATTCTTGAGATGGGTATTGTCTATTCTGATGATTGAGTCTTTGGCTACTCTGCTTTTAAATACTTTATGCTAACCTTTACCTGAGTGAGTATTTATCAATGTCTGAGTAGCTCATTTCTGTTCTTAAGCAGGATTTTGCTGTAGACTTTTGTAAGTTTGGATAAAGCACAACTTTAAGATGCCATTCCACAGCCTGTAGGAATTGCAACAGACGACCATTGTGTCAATGACTAGGGCTGCACACTAATATCAACGTTCTTCAGGGTTCTTCCAGTGCATATTATGAGGGGGAGGGTGGTGTCGAAATGATACCTAAATCTACGTTGATTAGTGGTCAGCTATTAGTAACCCCTGGTTAGCAGATGTTACATTTTACAGCTTTCTATTCTATCGTGTATTGCATTTCCTGAACAATTTGTGTTAAGCTCTAAACGTTGAAATGTAGTGAAGCACATTGAGGTCAGTATTCATCAGTAGTGGAAAGCGTATGCGAAGATGATAATGTAATATGGACGTCGCATTCACTCATTTCATTCCACGATCAACACGTGGCTGTCCAGAGATTTTTGCGCGGATAAGTTTTTCGGTTAACTAAAGGAGCGGCTGAATTTAAATGATGCGCATTGACTAGAGTTCATTGATTGATTGACTTGTCGTCATGCGCATATTGGGGTTTAAGGGCATAGGCAAGAAGGTGTTTAAGAAACGGAGTATATTGCCTGTTGTGTTTATCACCGTGAGCTGCTTGTATTAGCGTAACCCCTGATTTTAATGTTTTCTGCGTTTCCATCTTTTCAGTGCTTGCTATGAGGCATCGTGCGCTACTTCGTGAAAGCAACAGTTTTCCGCTAATACACATCTGCCTATATCTTGGTTATCCAAGATCTGTACTCTCTTGCTTGTCACGGTCTGCAGTGTTTAGAGTACCACGTGAAAAGCTCAAGCTGTAATAAATGATCCATCGTAAATCAGTTTGTCTGCATCGCCTAGCGCGTTCTATACTTTCTACATCTACTGCTATGCCCAGAAGGGAGCAGAACTTTCGTTACCTGATCTGGTCATTTATCTCTCATTATGCGTTGATACATCAGGGCTAACAACAGTTGCTTGATTTTCCTGCAGACAGCCGAAAACTCTATGTCCTCCAAAGTTCTTCGTTCAGAAACTATGGGTAGCGGCTGTAATATCGCCACATTAACTACCCTGCAAGTCGTTTACCAGCGTGAGTTGCAATATGACGCCCTTCCACTAGATTGGAGAGTGATAGTGCATTCATCGGTTCGTCTTAAACTGTTTATATTTTAAATAAATGTTGCTTAGCTATGACTTAATTTAGATTTAATGAATCTTTTCATTTGATAACCTTTTTAGAAGTCGTCTTTCACTGCCAAATATGTTATGGTCGTTATATTCGTTACCGTCACATACTCTCATATTCTAGCGTAAGCCGGTTATAGGGTGGAAACAACACATTAATGAGGTTAGGTCAGCATGGCAAATACTATGACCCAGTGGTTTAGAATCGGTCTATCCCCGATTTTGGAGAAAGGCATGGCCGATAAACAGGTTTTAATCTTCGTCATCATTCGCTGCTGGGTGAAAGCTTCCAGAGCTTTGACATAAACTTCTGTTTTATGTAATTCTTCTCTACCTTGATTCAGCTTCTTCAGCTCATCCTGCCATCGGTCTGAAGGGCTTACCACGGGCAGTCTACCCTCTCCTAAAACTTCACCTAATGTCGATCTATTTCAGTGATTGTCTTGTCTGCAGCTGAACTCTGCCCGTTGTCATTTTAACTTTTTTACCGAACAGTGGTATCGCAAATTTCTCTTTGTGCTACCCGTTCAGTAGTTTTCCTGTCTTCTTTATAATTCCCAGCGTTCATTTTTCCATGCTGCTTTGCATTGTCTGAGGTGTATGAATAGCTATCCAGCTTTGGATCCACGTCCTTTCATACTTGAGTACAGCACATATCGATCGACAACTTTTTGTTTCAACCACGAGGGTTGTGTTCTGGATGAAAACATTTTCAATCTTCCGAAAGTGCTTCATACCATCTGTACTCTGCTGATTTGGCAGTCGGTTCTCCGTTGCAGAGCTGAAATCTCCCTGATATGCGTAGTTTCGAGCCTCTTCGCCTAAGTCCGTTGACTTCTGCGGGGTTATGTGTTTGCAAACATTACCTTAATGTTCTTCAAGTTCACTTTCAGCCTTGCTTTGATGCTGGCGTCGTTTAGTCCTTTGATTCCACCTTTGAATGCTTCTTTTGACAGATGATAAGATATCGTCGACATACCACAGGTTGTTTGAGTAGCCCCTATTTACCTTCTGCCTTTTATTTTCTCAGCAAAGTGTCTTGAAGACTTATTCTAGTGCTGCTCTGAATAACTTCGGTGATATTGCATCGCGGTGTCTGACTCTCTTTTCGATTTTGAACTTGTTTGTGCCTTCGTGAAGCAGTTGCATACTTGTAAATCATTGTGATGGGGCTTCTGTATCTTTCCTCATTTCCCTTGCTCATCACGAAATCCAGTGCAGAATGGATGTATGCGGAGTCGAATGCTTTCGCAAAATCGATTAACCCTAGGCGGAGAGTTAACTGGTAAACGTTGCTAGACTAAGTCACTTGTACCACTTGAGGATGATCCACTGTACTAAGATCACTTTTGAATCCTTTGAATTTGCAGATTTTATATCTACATTTTAACCCGACGTTTTCCATTCATTTTCTTTGTGTGATGCTAATTTGCTCCTTTTATGTTTACTTCATTTAGGTACAACTGTCGATTCAAACGTATGAAATGGTGGACCGTCACATTCGCCGTCTGGATAGCGATATGGTACGTTTCGAAAAGGAACTGAAACGTAGGGCAGAGGCCGGAGATGCGGAGGCGGTCGAAAATGGTATTTGTCCATCAACTCGGAAAGAATCTGCGAAGCACAGCGGTGGACGCTCTTCCAGAAAGAAGCCATTGGCGTCGAAACAAGATCAGGTTAAAGCAAATGCGAAGCGCAAACGTGTCGCATCGACTAGTGGTAGTTCAGCAGCACACGTAAGCAAGGACAAAGAGAAAGACAAAGAAAGAGAGAAAGACAAAGAAAAGGAAAAGGAGAGGGAAAAAGAAAAGGAAAAAGTTCCGCCACATGAAGTAACAGCAAAGAAGTCAACGGTGTCTGGTCCGTTGTCAAGCATGACGGACATATCTGATATGCCTGTGGACCCACACGAACCTGTCTATTGCGTTTGTAGACAAGTATCATTTGGCGAGATGATCGCTTGCGACAATTCAAACTGTCCGGTCGAATGGTTTCACTTGCCTTGCGTCGGCCTTAGCAGTGCACCGAAAGGAAAGTGGTTTTGTCCGACATGTGTGGAAATGAAGAGGCTAAAGGCAAATCATTCACTGGAAGGAAAGTAGTGCCGTGTTACCTGCTGAATTCGTATCCTCTCTTTGTCTCCCAGTTAATTTAATTTGTTTAATTGTATCATGAGCTGTCTTCATCTGATTAATGCACTGTAGCAAACGTTCTCATCTCTTCGTTATTTTAGCCTGTCGTCATCACCAGAATTTGTATTAGCATTCATGCTGTGACCAAAACTCTTTAACTTTGGATTGAATGATATTGTAATTATACAGTAATGCAAAGAGGCCATATTGCTGCAGACTCCTTAATGACAAGGAAAACTTTTCTCAGCAGAACAATAGTTTTGGTTCATTCAGTGCACTACTGGAAAGGAATGGTTATTCCGCCGTTATACGGCTTAATGTTTGTCTTGTATTAATTTGGTGTTTGACCACATACTGTTTATATGTTATATGAACTGTATATGTGTATATATCCAACATGTTTATCTAGAAATAAATACGATTTTTTCACTTTCGATTTGTTATGCAGATCAACTATGTGCTTATGCATTGTACTTTATACATCAATAACTTAACCTGTGTAAACAGTAGGTTTAGTAGCAGTAAGTTGTTTATGCGAGAAGTTCTCTTACGTTTGGTGAAACAGTTAGCATGTCGCTACATTAACGAACCGTGGTTCTAACTACCTTAAATTTTGTGACAATGCATATGCTATTTTCATAATTTTCTACTAAAGAGTAAAATCGAATTACTGTAGCAGTTCATAATGGACGAACACTAGGTTTCTTCCCATAATAGTTATTCAGAAACCAATCCACTGATCATAGTTCTAAGCAAGAAAAATTTTTAAGAATTTTACGACTGCGTCGTATTTAAAGTGCAGATATTTCGTTAAGTCTCAGTTGCTTGAAAATTCAGGAATCTTTCGATTAACAAGATAGGATGGATTTCTTTACTATTCCAGAAGAGTCAAAATTTTGGTAATGCGTTTCGTCCAGGATCATAAGTTCAGTGTGCAACACGTGTTAGGAAGTTTAGCGATTCCATAACTGATATCCCAATTTTTGGCCATTTTCTGTTAAGTGCAGTGATGTTTGTAGGGTTGAAAAAGTTTCTTTGGAGTAGAATGCAAATTTTATGTGTCTGTTCTTGTGTTCTCTAACTTCTGACTAGTCTCCCTTAGGGGTTTCCAAAAAATGGCGCAGTTATCGTTTTAGTGCTGCATGTGATTTTCCACTCTTTCGCTCTTTAAATGCCTGAGCTTATGGTAAATCAGGAATCAGTGGTTCTACCAAATCTGCTTTCGAAAATCATGCTTTTCAAGTTATCATTCCATTTTGTTAGGAGGTTTACATCAGCGTGGTTACGTTTAAATGATTGTTGGTTAGAATATGTTTATTTTTTCCCTTTAAGGTGAACAGCTTAAATTTTTCGTTGGATGTAGTCACCTCTCTGCGGTACTTTTAAATGTTCCGAATCATACGTTTTACCATATCACTTTAAAGTTAATTGCGTAACTTCGCTAGTTTCAGAATACTGCTGCCCCTAAATGCCTGGGAAGCATATAAGTAGACCGCGGTTTTGAGTACTGCTCGTATATGGATTCAGTCTCGTGCTATTTCGTTAGCTCGAAGCATTACCGTGCTCGTCACGGGTGATTTTTCAGGAACTTGATCTCTATATGAATTAGTCATAATTGGTTTCAAAGCTCTCTGAGCAACTGTTAGTAAGGTAGCTTAACATGACAGCATTAAATCCGCTATCGACAAGAAGTGCGCCTGTTGCCTCTGTCAGCGGATAAACACTTTGAATTTACGGTTACAGAATAATTGCGATTAGTTTAAGTTTACGGTCACAATCGAGAAAGTGAGTCTGTCCAAACCTGCTGTCGTTCTTTCTCTTTTCTGTTCTGAATACTACGGTCTCCCATGCTAAGGTTAAACTAACACTAATTTCATTTGAATTTGCGTTTTTCTAGTTTTAGATGATTTTCATAGACTTGACCAGATCTCGTCAGTGACTGAGCCACTTGCAGTCGTGTAAATGAATTACTAAGCTGTTTTGGTAAAAGTGTCCAATCGTTTATGCAACCAATGTCTACAGTGAATTTGGCGAGGTCGAAGACTTCGAGCCTGCAGCTGTTTCAGGATGTCCCTGGTGCTGGTATTGATGCGTTACTGGTGACTACGTGTAAGCTCACGTTAACGGTTTCTCTTATAGTTTGCGAGCAGTTCTGCGCGTTTGCGCTGCAGTGTTTGAAAGAGGGACTGAACGGCAAGCTGTGTTCCTTAGCTGCTGGTATGTATTAAAACCTTCATATGGCTGTTTCCTAAGTCTCTCCTACTTATATATGCACAAGTACAGTAGCTGACTACGATTTCCCTGTGTCAGTGGCTTGTTAGATTCAATTCGTCCAATAATTCGATTTATTAAATAAGTCTAAACAAAAACTGCGTATGTTAACAAAGCAGTCAATAGTATTCATGTTTGAGCTCGTGCCTATTCATTGCCTTGTGAATTAGACCGTTACTTGGAGTGAACGTTTCTTGCAATTTTGGATGTCTGTGTTTCTTAAAATGTTATAAATCAGATACCCAAATTTAGCTCTGGGCTTTGCCGAGAGACTGCATCTGAAGAGTTTCTCCTCTGGCATCCTGATCACTAGAATAAGCAGTCGCAATTGCGATCTCGCGACTTCCAGAATAAACGGTTCACAATCCTTGTATCTTGAACTGTGATGCTCTGGACTTTATTGAGTCTCGTCATGCCAGCAGTCCTTCAAGGAGACCGCGCTCTACCGCCTGTATTCAGGATTGCGCTCTTTCGATCAATATCCAACACTCGTGACCACAAGAAAGGGTAGGTATGTATTAAACTTAAGAAAAGCAGCATCACACTTTCTCCTTTTAACTCCTTTTTCACACCACAGACCTGTGTAGCTCCCGCGACGGTCGCCTGGCTGATCTGTGTGTCTTTTTCGGTGTCCTCGTGAATGCTACCTCCGCCTCTTGCGATAATAAAACGTTTCTGTCTGTTTCCGCTGCAGTTCGTTTACTGTAGTGCATGGTGGTAGGCTTTTCTCGAGAGTACAGAAGCATC